CTGAGCGAGGGCGGATCTGCGAGCCACGCCCACCTGCCAATCACTCTTCCCCTGCACCTGCACCTGCCGAGAGACGAGGGGGAGGGGGGGGGCAGAATCAGAGCTGGTCTCCAAAATGTTCTCCTCAGATTATTTTCTTTATGTTATTTTCAAGTCTCCCCCAGTAGAACAGTAGAGTACCCGCTCGGTGCAGAGTCCAGTCCCTCCCAGGGCCTGGAAGAAGGTCGGGTACTCGAGTACTCTGCACTGATGTAGACGACACCACAGTGAGAGACCTGCCCCCGACCTGAAGGCACAGGGACGCGACCCCCTTGTTCACCAGGGTGAACTGCAACACACGACGGCTGAGCTGTGGGGCAATGAGCCACACCAGACCCCCCCACTCCCCCCCCACCCCCCACACGAGCTCGAGAGAGAAAGTCCAGCCCCTCTCAAGGAGTTGGGTTCCAGAGCCCAAACTGTGCTGGAGGTGAGGCCGACTATATCTAGTCGGTAACGCTCAACCTCCTGCACAAGCTCAGGCTCCTCCCCCCAGCGAGGTGACATGTCCCCAGAGCCACAGTCTCCATGTCCGGAGATCTGGTCGTCGAGGCCCCCGCCGTCGACTGCCGCCCAGATCTCTGCACCAAGTCCGTTGTTCTCCTGGGGGACTTCAACGCCCACGTGGGCAGTGACAGTGACACTTGGAGAGGGGTGATTGGGAGGAACGGCCTCCCTGATCTGAACCCGAGTGGTGTTTTGTTATTGGACTTCTGTGCTAGTCACAGTTTGTCCAGAACCAACACCATGTTTGAGCACAAGGTCCATCAGTGCACGTGGCACCAGGACACCCTCGGCCGGAGGTCGATGATCAACTTAGTCGTTGTGTCATGTGACCTCCAGCCGTGTGTCTTGGACACTCGGGTGAAGAGAGGAGCAGAGCTGTAGAGCTCCACCTGGTGGTGAGTTGGTCACTGGAGGAGGAGGAAGCTGGAAAGACCTGGCAGTAGGGGTGGGCGATATATCGATATTTTAAGTATATCGAGTTTTTAAATTCTTCTGACATATCGTTTATATCGATATAATGTTTATATTAAATTTTGATTTCGCTGCTTCGTTTGTTTGTTTCTCTCTCGTCCTTCGCCTCCCTGATTCTGCTGCTCGTGTCTCCTTCACTCGTCACTGTCGCTGTGAACGACGAAAGTTGGTGCCAGTGAAAAACTTTAAGCCCCACGAAACTTTTCCACCATTTACAGACAAAACCATCAGCAGCAGCACATCCTCATGTTCCACCGAGTCGCGTCTTTTAGTCCAAGAGAAGCTAAACGAGTTGAGCTGCAGGAGAAGTGCTGTTTATGTAAATGAGACATGAGCTTAAGTTTTGTTTCTGTAAAATGTAAACACACGTGTGCAAAACTGTATTAAACACATGATTATCTCAAACAGGCTGATGTGGATCTAGAGTCGTTGTGTTTTACATATTGTAAAGTTTATTTATGCAGAAGAAGATTTTAATGAATAATCTGCTGCAGTGTCACTTGTACAACAGAGTTTGAAGCGTTGGGTTTGATCTGCAGTGGATTGTGGGATTAAACCTCAGATCCTGACGCTGGAACATGGATCTGTTCAAATAAGGAACATCCTGAACTTCTTCTGCTGAAGGAGCTGATGGTTCTGGTTCTGGTTCTGGTCTGCAGAACAGAGTTAATGCAAAGATGAGCTTGTGTTGAGTTGATTTATTTATGAATGAAAAGAAGGAAATATGTTTTATTTCTTTTATTTTACAGTTAAATTATTATTTATGTAATTAGGGTTTTTGTAAACTTAAATGTTCCTACATGAACTGTCGACCTCTTACACTTCAGTAACAAAAAAAGACCTTGTGGAATCTGGCAGATTTGTTTTTGCAGTTTTCAGTTTTAGGGGGTTATTTTTTTCTTGAACATATATCGAGATATATTTTTTGATCCATATCGCCCAGACCTCCCTGGCAGGTTCAAGCGTGTAGTGAGGGTCTGTTGGGAACATCTGGCAGAGCCTCTGTCAGAGGGACTTTCAACTCACTCGTCTGGGAACTTCTCCCAGATCCCAGACGAGTCTGGAGACATGGAGTCTGAGTGGGTTTTGTTCTCAGCCTCTATTGTCGATGCAGCCGCTCGGAGCTGTGGGCGTCAGGTCTGTGGTTCCTGTCGGAACAACAACCCCTGAACCCGGTGGTGGACACCAGAATAAGAGATGTGGTCAGGCTGAAGGAGGAGTCCTGTCGGGCCTCGTTGGCTCGTGGGACGACTCTTTTCTGACTTTCTTGTTTTAGATGAATATTGTGATTTAAAAAGTGCAAATGAAAACAGAACAAATCACGAGGGTCAGAGAGTCGACGGAGCCGAACGGCGTCCGCGCTCATTTCCTGTTTGGCGGCGGTTCGCGGGTGAGTACAGCTCGTTACCTCGAAGTAGAAGCGTCCGCAGTTGAAGCTCTGTTTGGTGGAGGCGTGGTGGATCTGGAAGGACTTTGAGGAGCTCTTCTTCTTCTTCTCTCGGTTGAAAACCTCCTTCAGGTCTGACGACACCTCCAGAGGCGGACGCACCGTCTTAGGGTCAAAGGTCAGGCTCACGGCGAACTCCCTGAGCCGGCGCAGACTCGGCGTCTCCAGGAGGGGGCGGAGTCTGAGGGCCACGCGCTCCTCCAGATCCACCACCACCTGCGCCACCTGCTGGTCAAATGGCGGCAGCTCCACGAACATCGAGTCCCACTCCCTCAGGTCCTTCAGGGCCGGACGCGGAGAACTGAGGGCACAAGGGTTAGACCTGGTTTAGTCCCGGTTTAATCCTGGTCTGGTCCTGGTTTAGTCTGGTCTGGTCCTGGATTAGTCCTGGTCTGGTCCTGGTTTAGTCCTAATTAGACCTGGTTTAGTCTGGTTTAGTCCCTGGTCTGGTCTGGTTTAGTCCTGGTTTAGTCCTGGGTCTGGTTAGTCCTGGTTTAGTCCTGGTTAGTCCTGGTTTAGTCCTGGTCTGGTCCTGGTTTAGTAGTCCGGTTTAGTCCGGTCTGGTCTAGTCCCGGTCTAGTCCCGGTTAAGTCCTGGTCTGGTCCTGGTTTAGTCCAGTCTAGTCCCTGGTTTAGTCCTGGTCTGGTCCTGGTTTAGTCTGGTCTAGTCCTGGTCTAGTCCTGGTTAGTCCCGGTCCTGGTCTGGTCCTGGTCTGGTCCTGGTCTAGTCCCGGTTTAGTCTGGTCTGGTCCTGGTTTAGTCCCAGTCTAGTCCTGGTTTAGTCCTGGTCTGGTCCTGGTCTAGTCCTGGTTTAGTCCTGGTCCTGGTCTAGTCCTGTCTAGTCCGGTTTTAGTCCCAGTCTAGTCCCGGTTTAGTCCTGGTCTGGTCCTGGTTTAGTCCCAGTCTAGTCCTGGTTTAGTCCTGGTCTGGTCCTGGTTTAGTCCCGGTCTAGTCCTGGTTTAGTAGTCCTGGTTTAGTCCTGGTCTGGTCCTGGTCTGGTCTTAGTCCTGGTTTAGTCTGGTTCCTGGTCTAGTCCTGGTTAGTCCTGGTCTGTCCTGGTTTTAGTCCCGTCTAGTCCTGGTTTAGTCCTGGTCTGGTCCTGGTTTAGTCCTGGTCTAGTCCTGGTCTGGTCTGGTCTGGTCCTGGTCTAGTCCTGGTCTAGTCCCGGTCTAGTCCTGGTCTGGTCCTGGTCTAGTCCCGGTCTAGTCCTGACCTCTGTCCGTAGATGTAGATGTGCTGGTCTTGGGCTTCTCTCTCTCTCAGTTCTTGGATCTCGCGGTTCAGGTCTTGGACCAGGGTCTGGACCTGGTCTTGGGTCTGTCTCTGGGTCTCCTCGATCACGTGGGTGAAGGAGTCCAGGCTCCTCTGCACCTCCTCCACGACGCCGTTGAAGGTCCTGACCACGAGCGCCGCCTTCAGGTCGGCCGACCTCTGGCTCTGCTCCAGCACCGCCTGAAGCTCCTGGATCTTCACCTGTCGCCTCTGCACCTGTCGGCTCGTCAGGGTGTAAGGACCCACCCCCGAGTGGACAGGGACCATCTGAGGAGAGACGGGATTAATATGACCAAGGACACATCTGAGGACACATCTACTGAGGACACATCTACTGAGGACACATCTGAGGACACATCTACTGAGGACACATCTGAGGACACATCTACTGAGGACACATCTGTAGGACACATCTGAGGACACATCTGAGGACACATCTACTGAGGACACATCTGAGGACACATCTGAGGACACATCTACTGAGGACACATCTGAGGACACATCTGAGGACACATCTACTGAGGACACATCTACTAAGGACACATCTGAGGACACATCTACTGAGGACACATCTGAGGACACATCTACTAAGGACACATCTGAGGACACGTCAGAGGACACATCTACTGAGGACACGTCTGAGGACACATCTGAGGACATATCTGAGGACACATCTGAGGACACATCTACTGAGGACACATCTGAGGACATATCTGAGGACACATCTGAGGACACATCTGAGGACACATCTACTGAGGACACATCTGAGGACACACTACTGAGACACATCTGAGGACAACACACTGAGGACACATCTACTGAGGACACATCTACTGAGGACACATCTGAGGACACGGACACATCTGAGGACACATCTGAGGAGGACACATCTACTGAGGACACATCTACTAAGGACACAGACACATCTGAGGACACGTCTGAGGACACATCTAAGGACACATCTACTAAGGACACATCTGAGGACACATCTGAGGACACGGACACATCTGAGGACACATCTAAGGACACATCTAAGGACACATCTGAGGACACATCTGAGGACACGGACACATCTAAGGACACATCTAAAGACACGTCTGAGGACACATCTACTGAGGACACATCTAAGGACACATCTGAGGACACATCTACTAAGGACACAGACACATCTGAGGACACGTCTGAGGACACATCTAAGGACACATCTACTAAGGACACATCTGAGGACACATCTGAGGACACGGACACATCTGAGGACACATCTA